TTACCAATTTCACTAGAAGATCCCTAACAATCTCTGCTAATGATACAATAAAAAGACCTCTTCTGCTTTTGGCCTTGAACAGATCCCTAAACTTGAAGAACATCAATGGCTGAGACTTCTTGTAAACTCTGGCATTTAGAGATTGGCCCTGAAAGATGGTTTTTCAGGATACAAATATATTTGTGGGAAAATTATAAAGAAAAGCAATTGAATGCAGAGGTCTAGAGTTCAAGGAAGGGGTCACGGTTGGATATTCAAATTTGTGAATATGGGACCTCTCTGGTGGCGCAGCGGTTGAGCGCTGGGTTGCGAAGCTGCCTGCAGCCTCTGCAGCGCCGGTTCAATCCCCGGTTGCTCCCCGGCCACTGGAGGAGGGTCCCACATGGCGCGCAGACCTCTCCTGCCGCCCGCTGCTCCCCTCAGCAGGGTACCTCGGTCCTTCTGCCTGCTCTGCTCCCTGCTCTGGCTCTGGTGAATTCTCTCACCCTCCCGCGCTTGACTGTACCCAGTGCTTGTATAAATAAATAAATCTTTAAAAAAAAAATAATAAAAAAAAAATTTGTGAATATTGCTGTGTGGATGGCATTTGCAGACATGGAACTTGAGCTTCTCAGATTAAGTAGAGGTGGGCTGTATGCAAATCGCTGGGGAACTCCAACATTTAAAGGTTCAGGACCAGCAAAGGAAAGGAGCAGTGAAGAAAATTAGTGATGTGGAGAGGGAAAGGGATGGGCCCCATAGGGGAAGCAGTAGAGGGAGAAGAGGTGACCTGGGAACAAAGTGAAGTATTTCAAGTAGTAGAAAGGACTCCAATGTGTCAAATGCTGCTACAAGATAGGGTAAAGACTGAGAATTAAGCAATAGATTTAGAAAGATGGATGTTTTTGGTGACCCAGAGAAAAAGACACGTCAGTGCAGCAGGTAGAACTGAAAGCCTCAGAGCAGTGGGAGGAACAGAAAACAACTACTTCTCAAACATGCCAAAGTTTGTTCCCATTCAGGGCCTTTACAGATGCTACTTGATTATCCTGAAACACTCAATCCTCCAAACGTTCTCATGCACCTGCACATCCCTTGTGTCAGGGTACAAGTCGTCTCCTCTATGAGGACTTCCTTTACCATCATAAAATAAGCTCTTCTTCCTACTGAATATGCCCTAATCCCTTACCTTGTTTTCTTTTAATAGTATATAACAATATTTGCAATTCTATTATTTCAATTGTTTACTTGTCTATTGATATTCCCCACAAGAATATGAAAAGGGAATAATATGTACAAAGACTTCTTTTTAAGGACAACTTGCACATTTTTCTAGGTGTACCATTCCTGGAAGATTTTTCCAATACCTGAAGATATAATCTTATTGATTGTAACTCTCTCACAGTGAGAAGTGTGCAACATAGCAACAAAGAAGGTCCATAACTATAACCACTAGCAAATCTCCTGTGCTGTCACTCTTCTGCCAGTTTTTTTTACCATTCTGCTTGCTTGGTTATAAGCCTACATGTGGTTTTCTCACAAAAAAGTTGTGCTACATTAAAAAAACTAGCAACAACAAATGTTGGCGAGGATGTAGAGAAAAAGGAACTCTCCTGCACTGTTGGTGGGAGTGCAAACTGGTCCAACCACTATGGAGAGCTGTGTGGAGATTTCTGGACCTACTAAACATAGAGCTTCCATATGATCCAGCAATTCCACTCTTAGGTATTTACCCAAAGGATACAGAAACATCAATTCCAAAGAACACCTGCACCCCTATGTTTATAGCAGCACTGTTTACAATAGCTAAGTTTTGGAAACAGCCCAAATGCCCAAAAACAGATGACTGGATCAAGAAGATGTGGTACATATACACCATGGAATATTACTCAGCATTCAAAAAACACATGCAATTTGCAGCAACATGGATGGAGCTGGAAGGGATCATGCTCAGCGAAATAAGCCAGAAAGAAAAAGAAAAATACCGGATGGTCTCACTCATAGCAGGAATCTAGAAAACTTAAATAAGGTACCAGGAATATGAATAACTATAAGAAAGTGAAAATCAAAATCAACAAAAAACTATGAACCAGAGACACTCTATGGGGGGTGAGGAGAGGGACTGGGGTCAAAATAAGGGGGTTGCAATTGTATGGGGAATATAAAAATAAAATTTATTTTAAAAAATACAATTAAAAATATTTACAAACATAAAAAAAAAAAAAAGTTATTCTTTTGGGCCTCCCTGGTGGCGCAGGCAGTTGAGCGCCGCTCTATGAAGCACTGTGAAGCTGTCCGCAGCCTCTGCAGGGCAGGGTTCAATCCCAGCCCGCCAGGAAGAAACCCACATGCCGTGGCAGACCTCTCCTGTCATGTCTGCTGCTCCCCTCAGCAGTGTATTTTGTCAGTCTGCCTGTTCTGTTCCCTGCTCTGTCTCTGGTGAATCCTTTCACCCTCCCACACATCTGGCCTGTACCCGGTTCTTGCATAAATAAATAAATCTTAAAAAAAAAAAAAGTTGTGCTAGTAAAATTAATATTGATTATAATTCTCACCTTCAACTGTTTCATAATGAAGACAAACCTCTAAGTATAGCTAGGTCATCCCCAATTCTCAGAGAAATGAAACTTGTAGACTAGACATTGTCTAGTTCAGTTTCTGTCACACATGGATACCAAGACTTGCACAATACAGTCCACAAGAAAACCTGAGACCCTCAACAACAACCAGTCTCTTATAAGTTAGAGAAAGACAGGGGGCAGGGAGGGGCAGGGAGAGGAAGGACTAGGTCAAAATAAGAGGGGAGTGCAATTGTATGGGGAATATAACCAAAATGAAAATGCATACATTGTGCAAAAATGAAAAATGATGTAAGAATTATATAAAATAAAATGTTATAAAAGAAAAGTTAGAGAAAGACATCTCCAGTTAATAATAAGGGCTCACTTAGGTCAATAATAAAACATGCCCTAATTATTAGATATACTTTATAAACTGGACTTTTCCCATTTTGAAATATACCACTCCATTCTTGGAATTCCTTTATTGTTGAATCTTAATCTCATTTAGTAACCCCATGTCCAGAGAAAAGACAGGATTTTATTTTAGAAACCCTCTGTGGTATTGTATCTCTAGAGGACATTAAAAACTCCTAGATGAAACGCCATATAAATAATCTGTTAATCAGTTAATAACTTGTCAGTAAAGTTCTGTCACAGCATGTCACTGGGTTAAATAACTAGAGAATTATAATAATCTTCCCTTAAGGTGCCTTTTTGGGACAGCAGCTAAAATATATTTACCATATGGCATACATTTCTGATGTACTAAAAATATCCCTCCTACTTAATTTTGTTTGGGAAAAGGAACATAGCATGTAGGCGACTGAGGGACGGGTGTTTCTGAAGATATATTAATCCTACAGGAATGTTTTCAAAAGCCAGAGTAGCTGTAGGAGTAAAGAATGAGAGTGTTTCCTGGTAGCATCGCAGTGGACTAATACCAGATACATGTGCATGATTCGCTTATATCAAATTGAGCAACAAGAGAAAGATAAGGGGAAAGGTAAGGTCGGCCTTACACTGTTAAAATACTTAGCAATGGGAGAAAAGTTTGATTGTTTTATTAAAAGTTTTATTGATTGCTTGCTGTTTTTAGCACATTTCAAAGACCAATGGAAAGAGTCTAAATGCCTCTACCTTCTAGAACTGAGAAACAGACCATTTTTATTATCTCCAGAGTCTTTCTAACATGTAAAACAAGTAATTCATTCAACAAGCATGTTCTGAGAGGCCACTACATACTCCGGACTTTTTTTACTTTTTTTTTTTTTTTTTTAAAGATTTATTTATTTATTTATACAAGCACTGGGTATAGTCAGAAGTGCGGGAGGGTGAGAGAATTCACCAGAGCCAGAGCAGGGAGCAGAGCAGGCAGAAGGACCGAAGTACACTGCTGAGGGGAGCAGCGGGAGGCAGGAGAGGTCTGCGTGCCATGTGGGACCCTCCTCCAGTGGCCGGGGAGCAGCCGGGGATCGAACCGGCGTTGCAGAGGCTGCGGGCAGCTTCGCAACCCAGCGCTCAACCGCTGCGCCACCGGGGAGGCCCGTACTCCGGACTTTTCTAAGTGGTGGGGATCTAGCAGTAAGCACATGGATTTTATGTTCTTAATGGAAAGAAACAGGCAATGTAAGTAAATAAATGACTTAGAATTTTAGGTGTATCACACAAACTATCTTATGTACTTAAAACATAAATATTTGGAGAAAAAGAGAGGAAGAAAAAGGAGAAAAGATGTAAGTCACTGTATTCATTTTAGGTGGCTTATTTGTTTTATGATAGACTAGATTTTGTTATGTAACAAAGTTCCATTATAAATATTCCAGTTTGAGATATAACTTTAAATATTTTTAAAAAGTTATTAGTATATTTTTCCACTCAAGAGTATATTGTTTACATATTGTATTTATGTATTATTTATAACTTATTTGATGACAAATTATTGGTCAAGAATATCGCCTGTGAAGAATTAACACCATGACTTTTTAGTTAATCACAATGCACTTTGGGATACTGCCTTATGAAATGTTTTGAAAAATGAACCGGTTTTTTTTTGGGTTTTTTTGTTTCTTTTTTTTTTTAAGTGAAACCCTAGTAGTTGTGAAGTTTCCAGCAGTATGAACCAAGGAGAATTTCAGGTGGCAGTGATTTTTCAGTCTGTAAGAATAAATTCACTAGTTGTCCTACCATAAATTTATATAATGTAGTCTGTCAAATAGAAATTTTAAATATTACTATTATTGGTATGCTAATCAAGATGTGATGATGCTTGACAAGTTTTCCTAACTTGAAAAACAATAGCCAAAAACTAAAACTCTTTGGGAAGAGATAGTTCATTTCCAATTAAAAAGAAGTTTTACAAAGCACAATGTATGCAAACTAGTTCATTTTGGTTGTTACTTCAATTTGGATAAGAAAGTTTATAAAATGTAAATTGAAGATTTTTGGCAGAATAAAGCTTACCTTCAGGCTGGTATGAGAACGTGGTTGACTTAATTCCTGAAACTTCCATTGCTCTGATCCAGGGGTCTCTCCACCTTTCTGAGTGTCAGGTGTAAGCAATCCATCTCCACCAGGTAATGGAAAAATCCCTAATGAAATAGGGCGTTCTTTTCTATTTGGAAAGGAAAGGGAAAAAGTAAAAATTCATTCATTTTTAATTTTTCATGACCATAAACAATAAACCTAAACTGTCACTGCTTTACAGTCATCGATCAGATATCTGAACAAGTGGACTTCTCAAAGAGAAAATAGTCTCTGAAGTTTAAATTAGCTCTAAGAAAAGTAGTCAAGAGTCAATTTAGGATAGCTCACAAGTTACTGAGGAGTTCCTAGCCCAGGAAGCAGTATGTGATCTGATTACATAGTAAGAAGAGCAGCTAAATTTTAACTCATGTTCAGTTAGCTATGAGGGAAAAACAATTTTGAAAGCTCTATTTCCTATAGAATCAATAATAAGCTCCTTCAAACAGTACACAGGAGAAAACTATTGTCAATTTTTTCAAACGAGGCCAAAAAATTCTTTAAAAGACTATAGAATTCCCAGTGCTTTATGGGAAATTTTAATGAATAAGAGTTAGTAATCTTAATGAAAATAGAATTTCAACAAAAACACATCCTTTATTGATGCACACAAGATCCCAAGTCAAAGAAAGGGCTTTTAGAGGATGGAAACAAGCCTACTAACAGGTCATCCTGGGTCATTAATTCAAAAGAATGGAAAGTGACAAAGAGAGACAGAAGGTTTGGGGTGCCCTGGAACTTATCCTTCCACTAATAGAATGTAATAAAAACATGAAGGTTATAAATGTGGGAAAGTATTCAGTTTAGCCAAATAAATTTTGTTCTACAAGTTCATTTTTATACAAGAAACTTAACCTATTTTTGAAACATGCCCTCCACACAAAGGGTGTTCTGCTTTTCCTTTCCAAATCATCTGAAAAGATGAGTAAAACCGTCAGAAGACGCACTTAATGGAAACAATGGGACTTTTATCAGTTAGAATTAATTATTTGTCACTTCTTCACACTTAGAGTACCTTTTCTACTTAATTGGGAGGAAAATTCAAATGCAAGCAGGCAGCACCATAAAAGGCTAAATTTTAACACTAAAGCTAAGCTTTTAACTACAAACTGCCAAACCACCAAATAACAAAAATTGAACTAGTCAACTATTCTGTTAATACCAGTTATTCCCAACTACAACCAGGTTTTCATAAGTATATGGCAAAAAAAGGCATCATTTATTACATATCCTTATTGAATAATATAACACGTTATGCGCGTGCACACACACACACACACACACACAGACTTCCACATAACATATAAGCATCTTTTCCTGAGAATGACAAATCTTTTTCTCCATCTTTCCCACTTCTTTAATTTGAAAAATGCCTTTTCTTGCATCAAATAATGGTGACAATGATTGGAGTATGGATTTTGTTTTAATGTCCTAGTCTATAAAATACAATCTTGTTAATCCTCCAACTTGGTGGGAATATATTTTGGGGAACTGAAAACTGAAGGTCAAAGAGCTACTTGATGACTTAAAAAAAAAAAAATTTAACGACAAGCAAAGAAGTGACAAAAAAATCTAATCAGAGTTTCTCTAACTCAAAATACAGAAACAGCAGTAAGATAACACCGACTTCTTGCAAATCCATCACACTGCTAACAGAAATCGAAATATAGACCAGTCATTAGAATCACTGTAATACAGGGGCCTCCTTGGTGGCACAAGAGGTTAAGATGCAACCTATGAAGCTCACCCACAGGCCAGCCAGGGAGCAACCAACAGCAGCAGACCTCTCCTGACTCCTCAGCAGTGTATTTTAGTCAATTTGCCTGATCTGATCCCTACTCTGTTCTCTAGTGAATCCTCTCACCCCCCACAACTCTGGCCTGTACCCCAGTTCTTGTATGTATAAATAAACAAATCTTTAAAAAAAAAAAAGCATTGTAACACAACAACGCACTCATTTTCACACAAAGCAAATACTGAAAAAGTACAAAACTACGGAGGGGAAGAGTGAAGTAGATCCAACTTTTACATTCCTATTCCTGTTAATTAAATCTACAATCCAAAAACACAAGTAGAAGTCACATCTCCTTATACTGTTTTTTATTTGAATTAACCTGCATTTAATGGGATAAATAATAAATGTAACATACTGTTTTTATTAACCATTCAGAAACTCTTCTACAGGGAGGGAATTCTTTTTGAGAGACTGATTAGTATCTGCATTAGGGTCAATGATGGGCTACATCGTTCCAACTCTGAAAAAATATTATCAGATACATCTCTCCACATTATATTGATAAATTACTGATTTTATTGATAAGAGTTAGGGAGACAGAGGTCATGTAATTATGCAAGACAACCAGAATTCTAATTTCAAAAAGAAATCTTGACAGTGATCATTAGTCCTGTACTACATCTGTGTGCATGTTGGGTACTCTGTATTAAGTGGTTCAGTAAAACTCCCAGGCAGAAGAAACCAAGAAATGGACTACATGTGGAAAAATATCAAGAGGCAGATATATATTCCAAATGTTTCAATATGCTCTTACTGTCTAGAAACAAAACTACCATAAATTATCGGAATTTTGTTACATTCTCTTTTAAATTACCTTAGTTCCATATATTCATTTTTATTTATTTAAATGTTACACCTTAACAAGAAGGAATTTGACAAATACTTCTGAAACATTTTTGCTAGCCTCACATCTAAAACAATCACTCATTAACAAAATCTACTGTACTTACACACACACACACACACACACACACACACTCACACACACACAGTCGTAAGACAGAGTACATTTGTTCAACATCCACCGTGTGGCAGCACAATGAGATGGATGATTTATTTACATTATTTCTTTCAATTCTTGTAAGGAAGTGGGTATTATTTTCCCAGTGTACGGATTTGGAAAACTGATGCCCAAAGTGATTCAAAGTTGGACCTGATGAACTCCAAGGTCTTTGGAACTATTTAGTTGATAATTTAATCTTAATATTGAAAACTTCATATTCAGACATATCAATAGCAAACTTTGTGTCAAGGAACTTTTTGAACTTAATCATAAATTATTAGTAAAATAGCTGGAGCTAAAATAGTTCTGCTAAAAATGAGATATATAGAAGTGAATATAAAAACTTCATGTTTGAATTACTATATATCTTTCAACAGATTAAATACAAAATAATAATCTAATTTTACTTTTAAAACCACCCAATGTAGTAATAAGAGCCTCAGAAGAGGAAACTCAGACAGAGATTATACAAATTGCCGAAGGTTCTCCAGCTCACGTGGCAGAGCATTTGTACCCAGGCAGTTCAGCTCCAAGGCCTCTGAGCCTCTACACAGTGCTGCATGGCACTGCACAGTACTGCCTCCTTGACACCTAAGGTAGCTCTTTAAAATTAGTCTTATTTTAATGTTATAGGTATTCTTGAATTAATGTGCTTTTCTTTTTCTAAATGCCTATATGTACATATATACATACACAAATCTTTTATGTACTAAAATATACACATGTAATATGGTTGCTCCCCCAATTTTTACAAAATCAGGTAGCAAAATAAGTACTCAGTATCTAGTTTTAGCCCATAGATGAAATTTAATTTCTGGAGCTTACATGAATGTTTGATGTAAAATGAGTCATGGTTAATAAAAAAAGAACACTTTGAGGGAATTTACTACTTTAACTCATCTTAATTCATCCAAATCCACAATTAGGATTTGAGTATTTTCAGTAAACATTTAAATAATATAAGCTATTCACCATGAATCTCATTTAAAGCCATTCACAAAGCAGAATGTGAATCAAATCAGATAGTTTTTAGTTTAACGAGTTAGAAAACAAAAGAAACCAAAATGGTAAACCTCTAAAATGTAGAAGATAGTTCTTACAGGGTGCAAATAGAATGAACAGAAGAAAAGCTAGAAATTAATTACTACCTCCATAGCAGGCATGAAGGTTTGTCACCCAAGTCTACAAAGAAAGGACAACATCTGACAATACAATGGTGAATAGGCTTTGTAAAGCTTTCACAACTTTGATGTATAAATAATGGGGGGGGGGAAGGGCTTAAATTCTTTAAAAGGCTTAAATTCTTTCATTTTAATATACATGTTGTTTTAGAAGGAAAATATTTAAATTGTAAATTCCCACGAGCTACTAACAAAAATTGCAAATATGATGGCTCCATCAATCAAAAGATAACTGGAACAACAACAACAAAAAATCTATGGCCTATATCTATTTACAGCAAGTCCCAGCATATAAGATATTTGCCATGAAATGCTCAAATGCTAAACGCTAAGGTTGTATCAACTTGGATCCATGCTAGCTCTTGCTCTCCCCTTTACTATTTGAACATACTGTTTAAAAAAGACCACACTGACCTTGTACTTGTGTATAAGTACAATATGAAAATCCTTTTTCTTAGGTCAGTGCTTTCCAAACAGAAAACCATATTCCTAAGTGACAGCCTATAAATTACTACAAATGAGAACAGAGAATCCTAGCTTCAGGCCATTTTCTATTGTTTCAATCTGCAACAGAAATGGTTACAAAGCAGATCCATGAAGCTAAAAATTTTGAGAAAAAAAAACTAAACAGGGGCTTCTAAGAGAGACTAGAGTACCTGAGTATCCTTGGTAGGTTCTGCGTCAGAGCTGGCACACCGGTAGAAATAGAAAAGTGCACAAGCAGCAAAACAGAGAGAGACACTAAGATAGCAGAATTAATGACCACCGCCCCGCCAACAAAGCCAAACACAAACAGCAGCATGCATCCAGGACTCATGGCGCTGTGCTGGCATGGTGAAACACCCGAACCAGGAGGCCTACACGGGGGCCAAAGGGATATCTTTGTAGTGAGGATCTGTCATTCAGCTGCTGCCACAAAAACAATGCCATCAGCAGCAGCTTTCCACTCCATCCTGCAGCAGCTCCGAATCGATGACATCATCCCACTCTCCCCACCTCCTAACCATAGAGCTGCTGCTCCTAGCATTTATGCAGCAATCCAGAGCCACTGCCAGCCTATTAACTATTTTCCTCTCTTCTAAGAGTCCAGGCTTAGCTGATTGGCTACCATGCTTGGAGATCTACATAATTTATTCGCACTCCTACATCAAACAGATGTCTAGCTAACCCTTTCAAACATGTCTCTCTGTAACAAGAAGGACTTTAAACCAATTATACAAGAGAATTAAAAAATTTTCAGCATTCCAGAAATCAGAAAAATGTAATGTAATCACCAATAAGTATTAGAAGACAATCAAAACACCTCAATGCTGCTTGATCGGCCCAGCTCACAATTCACCTTTAATAGTGAAGGCTGTTTCTATTTTTCCATACTATTCTCTCCTATTGTATTCCAACCACAGTAGACAGCTTTTTGAATCTGCATGACTATTCTTCAGGATTAGAGAACAGAGAAAAACAGAAACATTATTTATTTCAATTTTCCTCAAGGCAAAAAATGTATAACAAAGCTTACCTAATTCTACTATGAGCTGTGGACTCAAGTTGATCACTCCCTGAGAGCTGATGAAGTTTTGTTCTTTCTAAGTGTTCCATATAATTATGAATCATCTATTTTGAAGAAAGAAAAAAAATACACATTTTAAGACTAATACCTAGAATAAAAACAATGTTTTTAACAAGGGAAACATTTTGGTGAAACGTCCGTATTTATCAGACTACTCGTACATAGTTCCATAAAAAAATTTAATGGCAAAGGAATATGCAAATGCTCACATTTAAGGTTTCTGTTTCCATAAAAGTAGTCAACATCTTGCTTAGCATTAGCAAAAAAATTTTTACATCTTATTACATAATTTTATCACTAATAATACAAATTAGAATGTAGACATTGGGGAGGAGATTAAGAAAACCACTGGTCAAATATAATTGGCATTTGGAAATGCATTCATTAAATGGAAATCAACAAGGGAAATTACAAAACACTTTTGAAGAAACCACACTCTTATAGTCTTTTTTTACTTTACAAAGGATTTAGCATAGCTTCCGATTTAATTAAATAATTTAATACAAAGATGTTTATTTCTTGTGTCTGTAGATTTATTGAAAAGAAGGTTAAAATATTTTGCTTGCTAATTTAATGGTATCATTGCTTAATGTAATCATCTACAATAATTTAAAGCAAATGAAAAATCAAATTTAAAGCAAATGAAAAATCAAAACCCTTTGATTCAGATAAGAAAACCTATGATAGTTCAACGTGGAAGTGAGAACTTCAAGAATATCATTTATACAAATTATCAAAAAATTCTAAAGTACTATTTGAATCTTGATAATCTACAGTTCACTTTTTTAAAAAAAAAGATTTATTAAGCATATAAGAACTGGGGCACAGGCCAGAGGTATGGAGGGTGAGAGGTTCACCAGAGACAGAGCGGGGAGCAGAATAGACAGATTGACTGAAATACACTGCTGAGGGGAGCAGCAGGAGAGATTCTGCTGCGCCATGTGGGTTGCTCCCTGGTTGGGGATTGAACTCCTGCTGCAGTGGCTGCTGATAGCTTCATAGGTTGGGTTTTTAATCCCTTGCGCCCTATAGTTCACTTTCAAGAAAGCTAAATCTGGTATTTAGCATATAAAATACAACAATTTAATCAGAAAACTGAAAAGCCTTTGCTAGATAGTAGCATGATATGAAGGAAAAAATGAAGTCTAAAAAACAGAGTGGATATATTAACAACTTAAAGGAATATAAATATTAACAGTAGACAAGAAAATGTTGATTCTTCCTTGGGAATATTCTTTGAATTTTTAAAATTGCAGCATAAAATGGCTTTGGAAGTTTCTAAACTTTAAATAACATGTGCATGTGGCATATTAAAAGGACAGGCACTAAAAATATTTAAACAACTTTGAATATTTATTTTTAAAAAGCATGCTTTTGTTGTGAAATTTTATTTGGCATGCATGTACAAAAATTAAGAAATATGTTAAGTCATGAAACAGTTATTTCAAATAAACAAAAAGCTGAACTCTAGTTGCATGAATGAAGACAATTCTATCAAATAAACACTATAAAAGATAATTATAAATAAGAAGATGCAATCAGCTCTACCTCCCCAACCAGTACATTCTATAAATTAATTCTTATCTTAAATAATTAATTTTTCAAATTTTAATTTAGAATGATCCTCAATTAAGAATATTCTAAACAACGAATGTATCAGGCAAAGAAAAATGAACACAGAATAACATGGAAAAAGTATGTGAAAGTACATCCAAAACTTTGAGATTTACATACTTTTTAATTTAAAATTTACCAACATTTAAAGAACAGTCTTGCAGAAATACAGTTTGGTCTTTATGTAAGCAAACCAAAATAATGCACTGCTTTCTTTTACCAGAAGGAAAAAAATTAAAATGAGATTACTATAAAAAATGATGGTATGGGTTAATAAACCTAAACTGAATTCCTATATTCTGGGTAGTAATATGAAATTGATTGGTTAGTTCAAATAGAAGAATCTAAGTTTCATTATTCAGATAAAGAAAGCAGGAATCTTCCCTACATTACTTTATACTAATCCATTTATTCAATATTTTAAAATAAAGATTACTATAAATACAAAGATACAATCAGTTCTACCCCCAAAAGTCCATTCTATAAATTCTTATCTTAAATAATTAATTTTTAAAATTTTAATTTAGAAAACGTTGAATTCTAAACCTTCTTCAAATGACTTATCCCAAGTAACTACAGCTATAGTATTCTGATTCTCAAAAATGGTTTTTTTTTTTTTTTTAAAGATTTATTTTTATTTATTTATTTATACAAGCACTGGGTACAGTCAGAAGTGCGGGAGGGTAGAGATTCACCAGAGCCAGAGCGGGGAGCAGAGCAGGCAGAAGGACCGAAGTACACTGCTGAGGGGAGCAGCGGGCAGCAGGAGAGGTCTGCGCGCCATGTGGGACCCTCCTCCGGTGGCCGGGGAGCAGCCGGGGATCGAACTGGCGCTGCAGAGGCTGTGGGCAGCTTCGCAACCCGGCGCTCAACCGCTGCGCCACCGGGGAGGCCCTCAAAAATGGTTTTTATCATGCAATTGGTTCCAGCCCAATTAAACCAATACTAATAGGAAAGTGTAATAAAACAACAATTCCAGCTGACATTGTTGAACATAAACTACAAGTCACCAGTGCATTTACACCCTTTGTTTCATTTAATCTTCACAATATTAACTTTTATAAACTCCAAATGAAGGAGATTAAATGACCTGCTCAACCAGCAACTCATTAATGATTAACTGTGTTCTAACTGCCAATAGCTAGCTGGCTTTTGGGCCAGAACTCAGGTCCCTCTAACTCGGTCCTCTGAGCAGTTAAGTACCACAGGACTCATGTTGTATCTGGTCTTTTTAGTCACTCCTCTAGGCAGGCAATAATAGCTCATTGTCCTTTCTTCCTCACACCCACAGAAAACCCACACTCTAAAGCATTTCTTGACATCTGTAGTAAATATGCACCATATTTCACAAATGCACAAAAAAAGTAGAAAAAATAAATGTACATAAAAATTTAAATTTTAATGACAGATCTTATAGTGTAGCCCTAGCTTAAAAAAAAAAAAAATTCATGGGCAGCAGGATCAGTGCTGCTAGAGAGAAAAGAAAGGTAGGATATGCTGTAGATATT